GAAGGTAGACACTTAACGACTGAGCCACCCAGGCGCCCCTCCCCAAGGGTTTCTTGGTGACAACTACTTTAGGGTATCGATCTTCTCACCAATCAGGATTCTTAAAGATAGAACAGAAACGAAATCTAGCTAATTTAAGGAAATGAACTTACTGAAGGTTATTGGATAAAATCTCCAGGAGGGCTGAAAAACCAAATTCATGCCACTGAACCAGAAGCACAAAGACCACTGCCACAGCCACTGGGCACAGACCCTGCAGTGCACACTGCCAACCTTGCCAAGCTGGACTCTAAATTCACTGCTATCCTACGCACCTCACCAGAATGGAGTCGGTCAGTCCTGGCCTCTTCAAATCCCTCAAATAATTCAAACTCAAGGGTGGGTCATGGTGTCAGTGCCTTGTTGCAAAGGGGCTGGAAAGTGACTACCTGGCATTTTCAACTTCTACAAGGTGAGAGATTCACTAAAGAGAGCAATTCGCATGTGTCATGGCCACAAAAAAAAAAGATAGATGTCCATCCATATGAACCTCAAGACCTCAAGACCCCTTCTCTCTCCTACTGCTTCCCTTAGTTACTGCCTATCTACTTAAATTCAGAGTTCTTGATTTGAAATACCCAAAGGATGGCTTTTGAAGGATGTTAAACTAATGCAAAGATCAAATTGGGATATTTGGAAAAAAGTGCTGGAATGGAAGTCAGGGGATTACAATTCGAAACGTATCACACATAAACTGTGAGCATTTACACAATTTATTTAAATTACTTGGGCTTCAGAAGCAATCCACAGAAAGGTCCTGTACAGAGGACATTAGACTTTTAATACTTTCTGCTTTTATATGCTATGCATGGTTCTCTATGTTTATTATATTAAACTATTAACTTGGGAAATGTTATTTGCACCAGTTTTAACATGCAAGGTATAAATAATACTCAGGTTGTTAACGAATTACAGAGATGTTCACCAAAGAAGTCATCTTTTTTAGAGATGTGTTTTCTTTGGAATTAGCCAAAAATAAGGAGGGTAAGGAGGGCGTACTAGGATGTTTTTGCTTGAAGCCTCATGTTTAAGCTTGTAACACTGATAATTAGATAATTAGAATTATCTAATTTCTTTCCACTCTATCTTTTGGACTGACTTTGTAATTATTAGCACAGACTCTGTCATAGTTTTAAAAGGGCCGTGAAAAAAATAAATAAAAAGGACAGCGAGATTTGCTTATGATTGAAAAGCTAAACTCTAAAAAGTACAGAACAATTTCTGGAAACCCTTTGCAAGTTACCCAGATCCTGTAAATGAAATGTCAATTCAAATATGTTACTGTGAAGTATTCAATCAAAAGCATGAAAGGGGCAAGAAAGGGCAAATTAAAAAATTAAACTCTGAAGTATGAGTGTAGCTCAAGCACGCAAAAACAAGACTCTTCTTTATGTTCAGCTTAGAAGAAGGATCTGGGAGAGGGGAAGGAAATATGCAACAGCAAGAGGATGGTGGAGGATTATTAAGAAAAGTAGTGGGCAGGAGATAGAAAAGCAGCAGCAAGGTGATCAAATGAACCCTTGGTTGCATAATAATGGAAGAAAAGAGTTGATATTAATTTTTCTTTTTTAATTTAAAGAATGATACATATTCATCTGATTCTTACCTTTTCTTACCAGAATAAAAAAAGACAAACGCTGGAATAAGAAATGTTTCCTTTAGTAAAGAAGGTCACCATATGCTGTCAGAGGGGAGGGGGTTAGAAAAGCCCTTCTAGCCTTTCACTTGGGGGAGGGTATTCCTACAGAACATTAAAGATTTGCTTTTCTGGACCATGAGAGTTTATTCCTATTTTTCAGAATGTTTAACATTAGGAAATCTTTGAATAACATTTAATACATTCATAGGCTGGAGATGAAAAATATGCACCTCAAAACAAAACAAAACAAAACAAAAGCCGAACCAGTTAAAAGGTACAGAGTATTAAATCTCCATTTCAAAGAGCAGATTGAAAGAGAACATATCTAACTTGTCAGCTGCAGTCAGTTGGACTTACTACCTCCATTCGCTTATTTTAAAAGATATGTAAGAGCATATGATATTGCAAACCTTGTTTCAGACCACAGAGAAGATGCAAAAAGAAAATAAAATTGGTTTGTTCTCAAATGGTCTGTAATTTCTAAAGACAAAAACATATACAAGGTAACCCTAGTAAAAAGGAATGTGTGTTAAATGTCATCTGACTGGTTTTGTAGAACCTCATTCCTCCTTTATTATAGTACTTCTCACATTGTTTTGAAATTATTTGTCCACTTTATTACATTTTGAACTGAAGGCAAGGACCATGTCTTATTCCTCTCTGTAGCCTATGGACCTAGATTAGTGGGAAACCTATTGGAGGGGCTCCACAACTGTTTGTGTGATAAATGAAACGAATAAATTGATGAGTAAATGAAGAAAGCTACACAATTCAGAGGGCAGGGATTGTATGTGGCTGGAGTGATGGAGCCAGGGGAAGTCATTTAAGTTGGATCTGAAAGGATTTAAAGGTGAGAGTTTGACAAAGGGAGTGTGGGCAGAAAGGGTAGGAAACAGGCGGAAGAAATAGAGTTGAAAGAGAGCCAGAAGTCTGATTTTAATAGAATCTCCCACTACATGTAGGAATGTCATCTCTCATGATGCTGATGGGTGGTCAAGTGCCTCATGAAGTACCCTCTTCGGTTTCTTAGCTAATCTAGTTTGGTTTGGACAGTCTGCCCTAGAACTAGTTTTGATTCCTCTATAAATAAATTAATTTCAAAATACTAAAGATTATGTAAAATCACTTAGCTTTTTAGGAAATTCATTTTTTTCTATGATAGGCACTTTTCCCAGTATTTGCTGCTTGTATAATTTAGTAAAATTAAATATGCAGGCTTTGGTATGGGTCACAACGTTTAGTAAACTACATATGAGATTTTTAAAAATTGGGGTAAAAGAGACATAACATAAAATACCACTTTAATAACGACCAGGTGTGTAGGTTAGTGGCATTACATACATTCACATTATCGTGCTACTGTACCCACCATCCATCCACAGAACTCTTTGCAGCCAAGATTTTCAAAACTTAAAAATATAAAATATCACTGTATGCAAAAATAGTCAGATACATTTTAATAAAGCTATGTACATTTTAAACGTGACAATATTCAGACTGGAACTTAAACTCGGTTTATTACCTAAACTTTGGGGCTTGGCACTTAATGGTGATAGCACAAACCACTGGCCTCATAAGTCAAAATCTATGATCAATATAAAAACCTATACATTTTTCTCTTAAAAAGAAGTAATTCAAAGTACTAACAATTCAATTTTACAAACCCAGAAAAGAGATCTCTGACAGTGTAAGAAACAAGATGATCTCCTTCCACTAGATAAATCCTGTGGTGGGGAAGGATCAAACGTTAGCTGTCCCAATACTGCTCATGTCTTACCTGGGGGAGCCTCCCTTGCCAGAAGAAATGGTTTCAGGTCATATGGTGGGTTCTACTTAATGGTGTAAGGTAAGAAGCAGTGGTGTTTCCCAATCTCTTGCTAGGACTCCATTCATTATAAAGAAGCACAAGGTAGAATCAGAATCCAGGGTTTCAGGACCCAAGCCCGGTTTTAGGAGAAATATTTCTCTAAAATCATAATCTTCTATATCCTTATATAATGGCCTCACACTTCAGTTCAGACTCCTACTCAGAACATTTCTTTCTCTCAAATGCTGTCCCCTATGTCATTTGGTTTTGAAGCTACTTCTGGAGCAGATGCTGAAGCTTAGGAAACAGCCTCAATGAATTCTGTGTTGTCACTTCTATAACTTCTTCTACTGAGATCCCCTTCACCTGGGCAATATATTCTGCTGAAATGGAAATGTTTTGGGGTTCATTTCGTACCTGAAACAGAACAAAGCAGAAAGTGAATCAGATATGACAGTCAAGGGAAGCAATCTTGGAGACCATAGACAAAACAGAACAAAGTGAGTTGGTAAAAACCAATGAGGGGCACCTGGGTGGCTCAGTCGTTAAGCGTCTGCCTT